TTAAAAATTTGAGTCATATTTTTTTAAAAAGATTAATTTATTAAAAGTTAAAATAATAATAAATAATAATAATAATAAAATATATTCTTTTCTTTAAAAATTTTTATAAAATGCAAAAATTTAATCCTCTTCTACGACCACGCGGCATCTCATAAAAATATCTAAGTTGCATTTGTTGCCCCACTCTTTCATATTTTAGAAGCAATAACAGCGCTGACATGACCGCTCCCTAGTGAAACCTCGATCCATCTCGATCCACCTCCCTTCTTTTTTGTAACGTGCGATCAACTCTGTTCAATCTTTCTCAACTTGCTAAACGGGAAGTGAAAAATTCTTCTATAAGCGTCTATATTCTTTGGTACCATATTCAGTTCAGTGGTCAGTTTCTCCCATTGACGATTTATATTTCTAAATCAAATGTGGACGTGGGACCTGGACAATATTTTGTTTCTCAACCTGAGAAAACTGTTTCACATTATTTATGGAAGCGACTCCATAGCAGGTTGAAGCAACTGTAACAATATTGTTGTCAAGCCAACAACCGAAAATGATTTCATTTTGGCGATCTTATATAGAGAAAAACTCGCCTCTTGAATGTTTTTTCAATGCTTTTTTGTGTGGCAATGGAATATCTCGCGGCAAACGATTATCTCTGATAGTTCCAGTACACCACATACCTTGATCTCTTATATTGGAAAGTAACAATAAGTGGACTTGTAAATAAGTTGTCGGTGTACAATTTATGGGAAAGATTTTTTTACCCTCGGGGAGCTCCCTCAACATTGACACTAACGGAGCAGTCGCCTTTCCATACAACACTTTATCATTGACCGTACTAATGAGATTTTTGTCTTGATATAAATCAAAAGTTTATAAGATATCCTTCCTTAGTGTTCAATGACCACATTTTGTACCCAAAACGTATGGGTTTTCCTCTTATAAACTGTTTACAACTGTGCCTACCAAAGTATTTTACCATACACTCATCATAATTGATTTCTGATTCGGTCACAAAATGTTAACATTTATTTTTTAGTATATTCATCAAAGGGTGGATTTTCCAGGCTTTGTCGTTTTCATCTGGTTTACTGCTGTCAGCAAAATGCAAAAACTGCATCTGCAACTGCAGTAGTGCTTTCTAGCTGGCTTGTGGTTGTATCCACTCAAAATTAGAATAGCAAGAGCACACTTTACCTTTTCTCTAGTGATATTTGGATCTTGGCCATTTAAAAAAAAAGCATTATTTCTAGTCTCATCTGTAATATGGGAAATTATATTTTCATCCCAGAAGTTTTCAAAAATTTCAACTGGGGATAGTTTTGAGAAATATGAAAAATTGGCGAAAGGAAAAGCTGCGTTGACTTATTAAATCACCATTGGTCCAGGAAAACTTCATCTTTTATTTAATTTATTTTTTAACTTTTGCTGATGATCTGGAAGCCCCAGCCTCGTCGATATAATTATATATTTCGGTATCTCTTTCACTATTTCGTAAAACAAGTTCAACAGGTGCCCTAATAATTTTCTTCCTCATCACCAGACTTCTCATCTGCAAACACAATAAATTCTGGGGGTTCAGTATATATATAGCATCAACGTCTAAAGATTCATCGGCATCAACCATCTACAGCCCATCTTGAAGAGAAAACCCTTTTCCGGAGCAAAAAATACGTTACAATTCTAAAAAATCGTATTTTTGCTCCTATATGTTCCTAGCGTTACACACACACACACACATATATATATATATATATATTATATATATATATATATATATATATATATATATATATATATATATATATATATATATATGTAACGCTAGGAACATATAACACCAAAATAAAAGGCATAATATACAAAACCACAACAAAATTTCGAAAAATTTATATTATCAATAAGAAAAGACATTAGTTTATGTTCAATTGAAAATATTTTAAACAAAATATAATAACAAAAAATATCGTTCAACTATCTGTCTCGCAACAACGTTGTTTGCGTAACAATGTTGCCAATCGCCGTGTAATAATCCGATTTGCGGATCTTTTTGAGAGTTATAACTTCTTCGTATCTTTAAATAAATCGGATATTTGTCTATATTTTTCATTGTATTTACCAATCTACTACAACAGACTAAAAACAAAAATAAACTTAATGGTTTGTAGTTATTTCCTTTCTTTCCTGTATATATTTTATTGGTTAACACTTCTAGAGGAATGAGTTTGGCAACACCGCTCAAAATATCCATCTGTGGGAAGCGATAAGTGGTTTGACAGCATAATAAAATCCTAGATTTATGTGTAGCTTTCAATTTTTATACGTGATGGGCGGGGCAACCTATTTGGATGGAGTTTTGACTTGTGCTTGAATGAGTTCAGAATCCAGCAGCCCGCTGAAGTATTGGATTTTTATAATATAAATATTTGACAACCATAATATTTCGTATGTTCCGAATTTATTTCGTTCAATCTGTATGTAACGCCAGGAGCTTTAGTATTCAAGATGAACCAGTCTGGACTAACTTAAACTTAATTTCTTGTTTCATTTCCCGCTGGTTTGCTACATACATCACTTTATTTCATACTATTTTACTGCATTTTACTTTACCACTACTGTCAGAGATAACGTGATCGTATAAAGTTTCGCTGACCGGTCCATTCGTTGATCAGTGAACCGAAAAAAATCCTAAAAAAATGCTGCAATATTTTGTTAGAAAGTACATACTGACCATTTATTTGTGGAAAATGATGCTTTGAATGTCTACCAATATGTGCGAGATAGTTTTTAAGAAGCCTACGATCCATTTTCGTATATATAATTTTGTGTTTTATAACACCAGACCACACACAACATGAGTAATTTAGCATTCGTATGCCCAGATGTGCATTGCAAATTTTATTAACTGCATGTCATGTTGGAATGATGTAATTGAGGTCCTAGAAGGATATACGAAATTAGCTAAAGGTCATTCAACAACTGTCTTGATTTTGTAATTATAAGAAGATAGACAATATATTTTTTGGCTTCGATTTTAATTTAATTGAAATTGATTACAAGTTACTATTGGGCAAAATTAGAATGAAGACAATTACAATAAAAAATGAACAAAATTACCCAACAGACGAAAAATATAATGTAGAGAGTATTTATGGAATGAGTCTACAAAAACCCTATATCAGAAAATATTGGAAGAGGAAATAAGGAAATATTCGTCAATATCAAATAAGAGCACAGATGTACACTAAAGAAATTTACAAAAAGCTATTGATATTTCAGCTACAAAAGCATAAGTGAAATAAACAGTAAAATGGCAAAATAAACCCAATAAAAAACCATGGTTCAGATAGGAAGTAAAACAAAACTGCAGAGAAAAACTGGATGCATGAGATTTAGCACAATAGAAACAAGGGAAACTTATGATTACAAAAAAGTAAGGAACGAAACAAAATATATTAGTAAATAAGATAAATGGGAGCACTGGCAAATGTACTCAATGGAATTGGATGCATCGCATACCTAAGGTGTATGTTAGACTCTCAACTCTCGTAAGGTGAGAGCGAAATCCGTTGTTGTTTACCTTTACTAACCTAACTGCGAGGTAATTGTGTAGTTTTTCTTATGTTTAACAATGAATATCCTGATAATGAGCGAAATGCCTTATAGAGAATATGTTACTACATCCGAAGTTAACAAAACAGGAAATCGAAATAAGTCAGTTTGATAGTACCTAGTAAAAAATAACTATTTTCTTATAGATATCGGTTGTAGATATGCTACAAAAAAATTAACGATATTTCTAAAATGTGAACATGTCGGTAAACCATACCAGCCCTTCTAGTATACATCATTGCTTACCATGAGGGATATTAAACATTTTTTCCACTCATTTTATGATCCTCAGACAAAATTACTCGGGACAATTTTATATTAAAATGCTGCAGTGTTTCTGGTCCAAAAAGAAGTAGAAAACGAAAGGCATGGGGAAACAAACCAAAATCCATTTTCATACTATACTATGTTAAAAGACGTGGTTTACTATTTAATGTGTGTAGACAAGATTTTATGGACATTTTCTTAGTGAAAAAAGACAGAATTTTAAATATTGCCAGGAGATTCAAAGAATGTAATGAAATGTCCAAAGAACATCGTGGGGGAGACAGAGCGGAAGCAAAAAATGATAACAAACGAGCTGCTGTTAAAAATCTGTGTAGTCTCTAAAGTACTGTGAATCTTATTAACGCCTTCCAAACTGTTACATAGATTTTATTTACCAGCAGAGCTACCCATACCAAAACTCTAGAAAATATTTAATGAAAAAACTGTTAGGAATCGTGTTAACCTGCAAGTTAAAGAATCATTTTTCAGATACTTTTTTACGCGACAATATAATGTTGATCTACTCCATAAACTGAGTTATGTTCGATGTGTCTGCAATATAAAGACAAATCTAAGAGAAACCTTAGATACTAGCATAAAACATCAGATAATGGTTCATCAGCGTTTGCACAAAAGTCGAGCTAAGTGTTTTTATGAGCTTCTAAGAGGAAACCAAGATTATTCTGATGTGACATTCAGCTTTAATTGTCAAAAAAACTTGTACTACCAAAAATGGCAGACCAAGCAGCGTAAATTGAAAAAAACTATTTAAAAAAACGCCTGAAGTTTCGTGTCCTGAACAGTATATTAAAATAATTTGAGCAAAGTCTACAGGTTGGGGGGTCGATACCCACCCCAGTTCTTTGCTGGAAAACTAACGTTCAGCTTTTTATGAAGCTACTAGCCGAGGTTTATGTACATTGGCATTATCTTGGCGTGAAAGTAAATGATTTTTTACCAAATTAGTCTTTTCTCGTTTGTTTTGTCGCTAAGTGTTGCCAAAAAATAAATAATGTAATACTCGTCATCTTATTATTGTGAGGTTAATTTCTTGTAATACTGTTTACAATTCCGTTAAACATATCATTTAATAAATAAACAATACAAAGATTAATATTTTATAGGTCACACCTGATGAGCTGAAGGACGAAGAAGAATATGAAGATATTCTTGAAGATATCAAGGAGGAATGTAATAAATATGGTGTTGTCAGGAGTATCGAAATTCCGAGACCCATTGACGGTGTTGAAGTACCCGGTTGTGGAAAGGTATGTGATTACTTTCAGTAAAAATATTTTCATGTTATTATAAATTTTTTATAAAATAACAGTTTCTTTACAGTGTAACATACTATTAACGTAGGTGAATAGTGAACATGCCCAGAAGTTGGGTCCAACTTTAAGTAACATAAAAATTTACCAAAGGAAATAAAAGAATCTTGGAAATAAAAGAGAAATGAAGAATTCCAGTTTCAAGTACGTTCACTTTGCAACCGGCACTCAGGTGTTTTGAAGAACACAACGGCGAGCTTTGGGACGTGGGTCTATATGTCTAGCATGGGGATATTAAGATAAACAAAAATAGAAAATTGGAACATACCAACTGAAAGTAGACAGAATTTGATACTATAGAATACAATAGAAATATGCTTTATTGTCACTGAAAATTGTACAATTTGCTGGACAAAGCGTACAAAATTTCAGAAAATAACAATTTACTGAAATTACATAAATCGTCAATATCACAAATAATATAAAATAGTATATAAAAAATATATGAAATAATACTAAATGAATAGGGAAAATAAAGGACACCACATTGTCTTTTTTCGAGGGACAAGGAAAACTCGATAAGTTACACGCGAAAAGATTGTTTTAAGGAAGATACAAAAAATGAAGAATATACTAAATCTCTATTTAAAACCAATATGAATATATAGTCAAAAAAAAACGAGAATCAATCAGACTTACCTTATACAGGGTGAGTCATGAGGAACTTTACATACTTCTACCATATCTAGAGGCCCTCAGGGAGCATATCATGTGGCCACTAAAAATGTCAACTCCTCTTCTTTATTAATTAACAGGGTGATTTGTGTAATTGACCATTTATTTCATTTTACTGTAGTGTTTATACGGCTCATTTGATTTTTTTAATTTTTGCATGATACAGTACACTACTATCAAGCATTCGACTAGTATTAGCTAAACTAAAAAATTCCAGGACTGGCTTTGGAAAAATTAATTTAGGGATTCGTATTAAATATTACACCCTGTATATATATATATATATATATATATATATATATATATATATATATATATTTAAATGCAATAAGTGATTTTCAAACTACATAAATAGCTAATGAAAACGACATATGCGACAATGTTGTCGCACTTTTATTAAATTTTTAGTGAACGATCAAATCTTACCAAAAATAGAACAACCATAATGAAGTATCAAATTATAAGGTATTAATTTAAACAAATGTTATAAATTTCAAACATTTTAATTAAAATAAGTTCCTACAACATAATCTAATACGTAGAAAATTAACATCTTTACTGTCACTTTGTATTATCTCTACGGTAGAATCAATTGTTTTTCAATTTTAAATTTTTGCTCATAGATCGTATTGGGGCATTATTTTCGATAAATAATAAATTGAATTGATTAAAAAGTCAAACCTCTTGTATGTGTTAGTTTTTGTTGATTGTAAATGATTAAAATTTTATGTCAAATAATAATACATTGCATCAACTGTACTAAATAAAAATAAATCTAAAAAAGTTTAAAATGAAGGTTGGCGTTGACCGTTTGACGTTTCTTGGTATTTTATACCCATTGTCATTATCAATTGTTATTTATGTGTACAAGAATATATATTTCTTCTGTCATATCTACGTTAAGTACATTGTGTTAGTTTTGGTAGAGCTTTTGTTACTTTCGTTCAAAATGCCACATCAGTTTTCAATCACAGAATATGCAGACATAATATTTGTTTATGGATTCTGTAATGGGAATGGTAGGGCTGCTAGTAGAGAATATCGCCGGAGATTTCCTAATCGTCGAACTCCCAGTCATCCAACATTTGGGTCAGTTTTAAATTATTTGCGAGAAAATGGCACTTTTCCTAGTGGAACAACAGAGCGACATGTAGATGAAGCGCAGGAAGATGACATTATGGACGCCGTTACTATGAACCCTACAATAAGCATTAGACAAGTAAGTCGAGAACTCAATGCTACTCAGTCAAAAGTAAGTAGAGTCTTACAAAAAAATAATCTATACCCATATCACATTCAAATGGTTCAGCGACTACATGCTGGAGATGAGATCGATAGGTTGGAATTTTGTAGATGGATTAACAATAATCGACCAACGCTATACAGGACACTATTTACAGATGAAGCCCAATTTACCAGAGACGGGATAAATAATTCACGAAATTCACATGTGCGGGCAGAAGAAAATCCCCATGCTATTCGAGAACGTCGTTCTCAGTTAAGGTTTTCGGTTAACGTGTGGATTGGTGTCATAAATAACCAATTAGTAGGTCCTCACTTTTTTAACGGTCCTTTAACAGGGCAGGTCTATTTGAACTTTCTACAAAATATTTTGCTGAATTTGCTTGCCAACGCGAACGTTGCTATCCGAGGGATGTATTTTCAGCATGATGGGGCACCCCCACACTTTTTACTGGCAGTGAGACAACATCTCAATAATGTTTATGGCAACAGGTGTATAGGACGTGCAGGTCCTATTTCGTGGCCTTCAAGATCCCCTGATTTCAATCCCGTTGATTACCATATTTGGGGACGATTGAAGCAACTAGTTTACGCAGTGAATATTAATAACCGACAACAATTAATTGATAGAATTATACATTGTTGTAATACTATTAGAAACGATCCTCAGAGTATCCGTAATTCAATACGTCAATTAACAATTCGGCAACAAAAATGTGTACAGGCTGCAGGGTTCCATTTCGAAAATCTATTTTGAATTATTTTTATTTTGTTACCATTATTGTATCTTTTCCAGTTCTAATTTATGGGTTTATCATAGCTATGTACATATTTTTAGTTTTTTTTTTAATTGTTCTTCGTTGTTGTTAGTAGTTACTGTTTTTTGTTGTGCAGTGACTTAGTTTATCATTTCAATTAAAAAGTTTGAAATTTATAACATTTGTTTAAATTAATTACCTTATAATTTGATACTTCATTATGGTTGTTCTATTTTTGGTAAGATTTGATCGTTCACTAAAAATTTAATTAAAGTGCGACAACATTGTCGCATATGTCGTTTTCATTGGCTATTTATGTTGTTTGAAAATCACTTACTGCATTTTAAAAAAAATATATACATGGTGTAATATTTAATACGAATCCCTAAATTAATTTTTCCAAAGCCAGTCCTGGAATTTTTTAGTTTAGCTAATACCAGTCGAATGCTTGATAGTAGTGTACTGTATCATGCAAAAATAAAAAAAATTAAATGAGCCGTATAAACACTACACTAAAATGAAATACATGGTCAATTACACAAATCACCCTGTTAATTAATAAAGAAGAGGAGTTGACATTTTTTAGTGGCCACATGATATGCTCCCTGAGGGACTCTACATATGGTAGAAGTATGTAAAGTTCCTCATGACTCACCCTGTATAGTCGTTCTACATTCCTGTCAGAATTACTTTGTTATTTTCCAAAAAAAGAAAGACTGTGAGAGCAATTAAACGATACAATTTTTTTATGAACCAGCTATATTTATTACTAACTGAAAAATAAATTTAACTGGACTATTGGTTTACAAACAGAAGTTATTGATTGGCAAAAAGAAATTTTCATTATAAATTAATACATTTTTACATATTTATCTAATGTTAAATATTAACTTCTCTCGATGTCTTGGTAAAAATATTTATTTTAAAGGTGATCTCAAGGCTATTTAAAAAAAGAAAAGTGAAAATTTACCTTTGTGTTTATCATAATGATATCCAGTTGTGAGAATTTACACTTCTCATAATCTAAGTACAAATTTAGTGTTGTATATAAAAAAACAAACGTTATTCAAATATACTAAAACAATTAGGGACATACCTCATAAAAAAACCGAATCACTGGACTGCACCGAGTAGATACCGAAAAAATAAAAATATTGACAGGTATATTTCCTTTTTCACAATTAGAAAATATTCAGCATTATGATTGAATCTGTTATAAAGCAATTAAAAACTTACGTTGAATTTTATCATCACCACCATTAAAGAAGGACGAATCGGCACCACAGAATAAATAACAATCAGAATGCTCGCTCTCAGATGCCACCTTTGAAGCATGTCAGAACGCGATAGCCATATTTTAAACGGAAACATGACTCGAATTGAGAAATTTGTGACAAGCTATGACAGAACCATAATTAAAATTTTTAGAGATTAATAATTTAGTCAATTTGAAATAATTTAATCTATTCTTCAACTAAAAGTTGGAATGAAATAGTGCATATTACGTCTATAGTTGCCGTAAATAACTTAAACGGGTTATTTTTTCAAGCAAAGTGGCATTCTGTTTGTTTATTATTCTGTGTCGGCACTAAATTAAACTTTTTCTTGTTTCATTTTGGTTCTTCTTGATGGCTTGTAAGTATTCTCAATGAAAATCTCGTGAAATAACACACTTTCCAAAAGAAAACAGAACCTTCTACGAGCAATAACAAGAAACAAACTGAGATATTGCAGAGGACAGTTCTCCCCTCCACTTTTCCGCGGTGTATTTTACAGTACCATCACTTTAACGGATTATAACTTTTTACTCCTTCGCTTTATATGCCATATACCACGCGGTCCATATGTATGGAATATATATTCATTTTTAGCGTTATTATGTACTATGTAAAAAAAACTTAAAACAGGTCGATTTTTATTCTTAAATTGACAATTTACAGTATAAAAATATTATCCCCCTCCAGCACCCCCTTTGAATTATAAGCACACCCTCAAAAATTTTAAATAACAAAGGGCGTCGTGTGACACCTTGTTGGAAAGGGATTTTACTCTATTCAGCAATACCAATTTTTTATGTTTGGTGCAATCATAACCGAGAAAAGTGATTTTTAAGATGTAAAATTTTGATAATGTTTCTCTCACAAAACTTTAGGTTGAACGACGATAATAATGTCACATAACATTTAGAATGTATTTTTCAATGTACTTTACAATTAAATTAAATGTTCAAAATGTCACTTCTTGACAATAACCGAGGTGATT